TCAAATTGTGTTGTTATACGCTTATGATCATCAGCTTCGCATTCATGTGACTGGTCTCTCGTCCCATATAAAAGCTGGACATCGTGTATTCTTATAATAAATTATGACCTGGTGTAAGTTAAATCGGGTTACTTAAATCAACACCTGTTAACATATTAGTAAAACTTGTTTATCTAGACATATGTTAACCTGGGCCCACGTGCACAGAGCGATCTTAGCGCTCCCATACTTTAACATAGACATAGTCTTAGTCTTAGCGCTAAGATCGCTTTGTGCAATTGGACCCTGAAGTGACCTGAAACATGTTCAAACATAACAATTGCTTCATCCCTGAAAAGGTTGCCTTGTATGGCAAGCATGTGTTGCTAAGACCGATACTATCCCGGATCTTCAAGGGTACCTTAGCAAGTGAGTGAGTATGGTTTGTCATTGATTAGCAATATTCCAGCACTTTCACAGTGGGTGACACCAGTAACATCAGCAGGTGCATGTCACCTCACCTACACCACGCACGTGGAGTATTTATTCACATGTTGTCAATCTCACTCGGCATGTTGGGTACTGATATTTCCTTTAGTTAACCAGTATGTATGTATCCCGTGTTACGGGTTTTCGGACGCTTGAGAAACATTCTAGTCTTATCGCTAATCACATGAACAACTGTAAAACATTTCATTCACATATTTAAGACAACCTTTTCTTATTATTATTGATCTGAGTATTTACAATGTTTGGGTGATACTACATCCCTGGTAAAACAGCGTGGGTAATCACGATAAATATGGCCGTTCGAAACGTATGATGTTTGAAATTCTATGATCCAACTATACTCCCTTGGTCCAGTCTATACTAGGCATGCATAAACCAATGAGAAGAGATTTAATATCATGAATATATATAATTCTGCTTTGGATGTTGTTTCAGCTGAATTGGCATCTGCTCAAGTTCTGCTCCAGCTTGTCAGCGACACATATGTCTACAAGTAAACATAGTCTTTTGTGCATCATTCACTGCAGTAGAGTGATGCCAGCATTTGATCAGTAAATAGAGATTTATAAGGGCCCGTTTCATAAGTTTGATGTCAGATGAAAACCTATTCCTTAAGTTTTGAGGCAACCCCCCCCCCCCCCCCGCAACATAATTCTGAAAATGTTTGAATTTCCGAGTTTAGCTTTGCTTAGTGACTTCTTTTGTCATGCTTTCTTGTGTTTTGCCCTGCTTCAGAACACTACTTCGACTGAAGTTTATTTACTTGGTGTTGAAAATCACTTGTAGAATTTTTGTAGATCAAATCTGATATAGCGGTATCACGAGGGGTATAAGTGGTTTTATGCGTCCTACATTAGGTCTTATCAGGTTTATACCACAAGCCACATAAAACCACATACCGTATTCTACGTAATAAGCGCCCCGCACTAATAAGCGCCCACAGTGACATTTGCTGATATATTGGCTAGTGAACAATCCCAATTAGCACCCCTTCCGATTGATCAATGTACACAAGACTTATTTATTCGTGTATAATACACACTCTTGTGTTATATGGACCCATAATTATGGGCAATTAAATTCTGGAAAAATATATCTGTCGTACATAAACATTTCATGCTGTCAGCATAACCATGACATTTATCTTTCAACTCTGTTTTTTTTCACCAAAATAATATTCTAATAAGAGCCCCCTGTTTCTAATTTTGAGAGCACCCTGGGCGCTTATTACGTCAAATACGGTATACCCATCATGATACTGCCACAATGGAGTTGTCTTTCGCCATGTTTCAATCTCTCATTGTAAAAGAATTAAAACAAACTAAAAATAGAAAACTGCTGTTTGATTGAGCTGAAGTGCTTGTGCTGTGTCACTTGACTTTCAATGACTCGTAAACAAGCAGCTTTTACTTCGAAGCGGGTTATATGGAATTTATTATCCAACTAAAAAAATGACTTCCCTCCCAGGGGGAATATATAACATGTTATCATGATCATGTGAACCAATCAGATATCAATATTCTGACAGGTAAGATAATCTATATTGTGCACTTCACTACACATGCTAAAAGGACTTGCCACTCGCGTTGGTGACAAAACCCTACCTCATAGCTGTATTTAAAGACATCTAACAGCACATGAAAAATAATTGGATCGGTGAAATAGGAACAGAGCTAATTTACACACATAAAACATTGAGACATAAGGTAAGTTCCTGTTATAGAATAGAAAACTTGCAGGACCATTAACACTACCCCCCCCCCCCCCCCCCCCCCTCCCCTTAAACTAAAGGAGTTACGATTTTTATTCAACATCAAACTTTTGAACTGGCTCCTAAGGAAATACAGCTACACATAGGATATAGGACAGGAATAGGATTTAGGTGTGAGAATTATGCAGAATATTGTTACACCATGGCAAAGGGTTTCATGGAAATGAGGATTTATTTCGCGTACTGTACACAAATACTCAACTCATCCGGAGCAATGGAGTATTTAATCACTCACACTGCATGCATCACCGTACTGAATCAATACAATTATACAGTCACCTCATCCCCACTGAATAGTCCCTGATTAATTCACCGACATCTGTCATTCAGCATATTCAGTTGCTTGGATCAATATTATGTGGCATCATTTTAAGTCAGAGGCATCCTATTTATTTAGGTTAATTTTTAAACAAAAAATACCAGGAGCAGGGTATAGTGTACTGATGGAAAACTCACAAAAAGTGTATTACGGTTATTTTGATACATCACATAACATAATGTACATGATGTAAAGTTAGTTTGTAATGTCATATCCAGACTTATTTCTCATATAATAGCGATATGCAGAGCTCCAGATAAGCTGCGTATCTGCGTAAAATACGCATCAAAAATGCAGAAATATGAAGTTAAATAAAATCCAAGCGTATCAAATACGCAACGAACATTACAGATTCTCTTCAAAAATAAAACTTGTGCGTATCATGAAAATATTGTGAAGTAGCCTTGCGTATTCGATTAGCAAATCAGAAACTTATTTTGAAATTATAAACGGACATTCCGTCAACCTTACCAAACTCCACGATGACAGTTACACCATGATCATTTGCCATCACTTTCTTGTGGAAGTATCGTGGTATTTTTTAGTCCTATAAAGCTCTCGAACCAACACAACACCAGTTTGCAGGGACTAGATGAATAGTGTTTTTAAATATTTAACTTAAATACCCACATGTGTAAAAACTAGTGGGTAACCAAAATTTGAATATCCAGATAGAATTACTGATACCCAATGATTTTAAAATGCATGGATAAAATACCCACAACACCAAAAGCTTATCTGGAGCTCTGATGCATTCATGTGTGTTAACATACGAGCACCAGGCAGGGTAACAACTAGTTCTATCTCTTGACGTTGTTTGGTATGACCAATGATTAAGCCAGAGGATCGACATTCCGCTTCCCAAGCAGACACCGTTTCCACTACACCATGAAGGATAATTCAAATAAAGACTGGAATGCATCATGTACACTGCAATATGTTGCTATCATGCTAAATACAAATGTCTCTGATACACGCAGCAATATTCCAGCCCCATGACAACAGCCTATAAATTATCGAGTCAGGAACAGACAATCCAGTGAATGATATTATGAGCAACAATTCATGCTGCCAGGATATGAAGACATGCAAACAACCAATTCCCCGAGCCTGACAGTGACCAGTCAATCCATCTGGTCGCCTGTTATGACTAGCACATGTTGCTGAGGATCTCTCCTAACCTGGCATCCCCACAGGGTGTAAATACAGTACTTGTTGGCGACATATTACACGATCTTCATGGTTTGAGGTCTGATGTGGTCTGAAATGTCTGAGATGTATTTGCACTTTGGTTAAACCTACGAGCATGGGTATGGTGCTGATGAACCAAGGAACATAATCAGGAAGAAGTGGGATTCAAACCCAGAACCATAGGCAACGGCAGATCCTGCATTTTCAAAAGGGAGGGTCCAAACTATTAAAATCCTCTCTCAGGTTATTTTACTGCTTACAACTTATTACATTTGGTTTTCAAAAGGAAGGTGCCGGACTTCCTGGACCCCTCTCTGGATCCATCTATGGTAGGTTTCTCACACATCTAAGTGACGCAACCCTGCACAGACAATTGCTGTGCCTAAGATGACTTGGTTTCTGGAATGATTGGTTTGTTTGATTGTTGTTTAACACTGCACTTAGCAATATTCCGGCTATATGACAGCGGTCTGTAAATAATCGAGTCTGGACCAGACAATCCAGTGGTGGATATATTATGAGCATCGATCTACGCATTGGGATCAATGACATGCATCAAGCAAGTCAGTGAGCCTGACCACCCGATCCCTTTAGTCGCCACTTATGACAAGCATAGTCGCCTTTTAGGGCAAGCATGGGTTGCTGAAGACCTATTCTACCCCGGATCTTCACAGGTCGAATGATTGGTATAATTCACTCATAACAAGATAATACGAGTGAGCATTGGTGAGTACTTCAGCAACCTAAGAATTCTATTACAGCCTGTCAGTTTCAACTGTTAGGATGAAAGCAGCCCAACATACCCAATGTAGGTATTTATGATTTGTGTCAAACCCACAAGCATCGGTATGCCACTGACAGACCAAACACAAATATGGGATTCAAACATATGACCAGCAGATCCTGACATGACTAAGGGATGCAACTCTGCACAGCCAATATGGCATCTGGGATGACTGGGTTAATGGAGAGTTCTCTTTGATTCAATTCCCCTTTATCTTTGTACATGACAGGGTAATAATTGGGTCATACACAGGAAGTTTAGAGTTAACAGTAAAACCCATCACCTTTGGTAATATATTAGTAACTATGTGACCATGTAACATGAAATATTAACAAACAGAAACATTACCATGAAACCTACATATGTCATGCATACTCTCAGTAAAACGCATTTCACATGATGATGCATGAATGCTTGGGGTTGCATAGAAGCTAGACTTAACAAACCATAATCCCTTGTAACTGAAAACGCGCCTTGTTTTTAAGTTCTTGAAGCTTGGCTTGTTTGTCCTTGTCTAGCTGAATCCTGTCTTTGATGCCGAACAAGTCGTGGTCGTTGTCTTTTGTGATCCGCCTCCTGCTGATGTCAAGGTCGTCCACGGTGCCAAAGTCACGGTAGATGACGGGAATGATGTACACGGCACAGATTGTACCAACCGCCAGCATTAGGCAGATGATGCTTCGCTGAAGTCGGGACAATCGGTTCCATACCTGAAGACAAACAGATTACATTATCATGATAACAACGAAGAAAGTGTTACATGGTTAGTACTGTGAAAAAATAAAATAACAGTTTTCGTTGACCATGCTCATCATCACTTGGGTTTGTGCTGTCTACTAACTTTCATACAACATGTAAATCATCCAGGGCTAAAACATGTGGCAATTAGCAGGTGAACATACAGTGTTTTCAATGTAGATCTTGGTTAACCAGTGGGGTAGCCTAGTGGTTATAGTGTTCGCTCATCACTACCAAAACCTGGAATTGATCCCTCACAAGAGTCATATGGTACAACATGTACAGTGTGTGAAGCTCATTTCTGGAGTCTCCTATTGTGATATTGCTGAATTATTGCTAAAACTAAAAGCAGCGTAAAACAATACTCACTCACTCACTCACTCGCCGATTTCATGTATCAATAAATAGTATCAAGTAGAAATTTGCCATTTTTAAGGGTTTTGTTATATGTTACCATGATAAGGACTAGTGGACGAAAACTGTTATTTTCTAACGCTACTCAGCACCAGAGACCATATCAAGAGTAACCAGCCCCAGCCCTAGTTTCTGGGGCTTCAGTCCTGACCGACATTAATGCACATGTAGCACATTTGGTGTCTCCTTAGGCAAGTGACTTTGTTTGAAATATGCTTGAATGGGTATCCAGTAGGATGAGATAGTTATATGACTGCTAACCTTCTAGGCCTAGCGCCTCAAAGGCTGCATGGGTTGAAAACAACTTTGGGAGACGAGAAAGGAAATCAAACAAATGCTCTAGAACATTACAAATATCCATTTATCATCATTATGAAAAAAAATATCTACAAACTTACAGATACGGTAGGTCTATAAATGTAGGCGTAATTATAGTATGTAACTCTACCCCTCTCAGATGTTGAAGAATGGTCTCTTGTACAGGGCTGTATTTGAATCCAAAGATAATCACTAGCTGATTGCGATCAATATTTGAGCAACATAATTCCTTTCCTTTCACGTTGGTCACAAGTTAGTACCCCATTTACCAATAAATACAGTTAGGCTTACTTTCATAAACAAGCCTTAGAAAAGCAGGTGGTTGAAACGAGCAATTTTGGCATAGTGACAAATAAGGCCGTAAACATGACATCATTTCAATTTTTGTCGTTTAATTCAAATGTATTTCACCAGGGAGCTGTCACTAATTGTATATATGCGAGTCGTGTACATTGTACATGTTTCAATAAAGTCAATATGTTAGATATAATCTTGGTCGGCGATACTCCCAACTTCTCATGGGACAGACACTTAGAACTACAACTCACCCGGATTGGCGACTGCCTGCGTCTTCCTTTACTGTTATTGTAATCCTCACTGCCAAAACCTAACGTAATGGCAGAAAAATCTTTGCGACCTGTCTGGCCGATCATCTTAGTGGTGTCAGTGCTCAAAACATGGGGGTTTCGCTGCAAACATAAGTCTTAACCACTCAACTTGTTCCACTTGCCAGCGGTTTCATTTTATACTACCTTCTCAACTACATATAATCAAGAAATATTTTGTCGCAGAAACAAGTAAGTAGCCATATTCAGTTCGTAAAGTAATACATGTTTCGTTCTTTTATTCGATTGTTTCATTATATGTCTAATTTTTTTAAATAATCGTTTTATATTGAAGGAGAGATTATTTAACATATCTCAATACATATATAGTTAGTCGTTCTATTTATAGTACAAGAGTTTCGACTGTTTTCGTTTATGGTAAATGTTAATGTCGTTAATAAGTCTTGATAAATATATGTCTGCAACACAGATAAACAATATGTATGTTCCTAATGCATGGGATAAAAGTGTTTATTATCCTAAGTGACACTGATTTCGACAGTACGTAATAATGGTGTTTACTTTCACGACATGGCACCGCAGGCGGGTACCATCTGTTTTAGGCGGTAGAGCACTGTTCTCGTTGCAACTCTACAAATATTAAACTCAGTAGCCTAACAAAACAAACTTTATATTGTTAATTAAAAAATCAAATAAAACAAATCTGAAGGAAAATTGGATTATTAAATAATCAATGACATATGATGTGCATATACCAGGGTTAGAAACTAACAGTCTTTGTCCACTAGTCCTTATAATGATAATATATAGCAAAAACCTTAAAATGGGCCAATTTCTACTAGTCCTTATGATTCCCTTACTATTGGTTTGTTTGATAAGGACTACAGGACTAGTGCCAATTTCTAACGCTGTATACAATATACATAGAACTACATACATGAACTTTGTATCAATATCAAGATTTGTCACATTGATATTATTAATATTTTCTACAAAGTATAGATGTAAGACGCTTTCCTAGTAAAAGTAACAGTCAGCAAACTATTCATGTTTATTTTCAGTCGTTCTGTTATTCTGTGATCCTCCAAACTCCATGATAATTTACCATTATTAAAGTACTGTGAATAAGTGTTGTATTAACTGGGGAAACAATATTTAACACCGCCTGTAATCTGGTGCTAAGTTCATTCACGGTCCCAGATCCTTCATACTAACCATGTTGATGTATAAAATGCCATGTTAGTAAAAAGCAATGATACCCCCAGCAGCCATTCATTTGGTGATATATTTTCAATTAAAAAGATTATTAATTGACCAATGCGTGACCAACAGAAGCGATCGAACTGATTCATCTATACTCAACAACAAAAGTTCTTGTGACACCACTATTTTAGTGTATTTTTCAAACAAATAAAGTTTGGTTTTCAATATTGTTGTACATGTATGGAATCAAGTCACAACAACGCAGCTGCTACAGAAAAGCATGCATTCCATGAAAAGTCGACTTTTAGGTAAGCCCCATGCATTTCACTACCCAAGAATGGGTATAAAAACATGTGCGTTAACGGGATTCCATATGCATTGTTTAGCATCGTGCTGACAACAACCACTCAGAAAAACAACAAAATTACGCAATCATTCAACATTACGAAATGTCACGCCTATCCGAAAATGAGCGTCTGTGAGCCATTGGTATGCTTGAAGCAGGATCGAGTCAACGTGATGCTGCAAGACAATTTAACGTCCATAGAAACAATTTTTGGTGTTAATGGCAACGTTGGCAACAGGAAAATGCAGCCAGAGAGCTCAGACCATCCTCGGAGTGGCAGGCCACGCGTAACCAATAATCGACAATACAACTGGATTCGAACAACACACCTACGAAATCGATTCCAGCCAGCAACAGTGACTGCAAGAAGCATCCCTGGCCTTCGACGAATATCTTCACAAACCGTACGTCGTCGCATCAGATGTGCAGGGATTGTCGCCAGAAGACCTACCAGACGTCCCATTTTGACAGGAAACCACCGTCAAGCACGTCTACCGTGGTGCAGACAGCGTCTACGCTGGACGGCCATGCAGAGGGGACAAGTTCTGTTCACTGACGAGTCTTGTTTTCACCTCTGCCACAGCGAACGACGGATTCGAGTGTACCGACGTCGAGGTGAACGTAACGTCAATCATTGTGTCATGGAAGAGGATCGGTTCGGGGGCGGCAGCGTTATGGTATTGGTTGGGATTACAGCAAGACAAAGGACCCGTTTGATAGTGGTAGAGGGAAATCTCAAAGGACAGCGCTACCGCGACGAGATCATCGGCCCTGTTGTTATACCGTTTTTGCGTCGTCATGGCCCAGGCATTACTTTTCAACATGGCATCACTTTGCTCGACTTGTTCAGGATTCTCTTCAACAAAACAACGTGAATGTCATCCCCCTGGCCGGCTCGCTCCCCTGATCTCTCACCAATCGAGCACATGTGGGATGAGATGGATCGTCGCCTTCGACGTCAACCACGTGTTCCACAGACACTCCAGGAACTTCGAAACATGCTCCAGCAGATATGGACAGATATTATACACGACTTTGTGCGACGCCTGGTCCATTCCATGAGACGAAGATGTGTTGCTTGCATCGCAACCAGAGGTGGACACACACGCTATTTATTTGTAAATTGACATTTTGGCATGTTCATGATTTCATGAAATCACGCATGTTCTGAAGTCAGTATGGCAAATTAAACCATTTGAACGCTTACAGGATTCTTTTATCTGTTGCAAACCGAAATTGTTTCAGATTTGGAAAAAAACATAACCTCACATTAAATCTTATTCAATGTCACAGGAACTTTTGTTGTTCAGTATATATATATATATATATATAATGACGGCGGCCTGTAATAATCGAGTCTGGACCAGACAATCCAGTGAATGACATCATGGGCATCAATCCATGCACGCAATGGGATACGATGACCTGCATCAACCAAGTCAGCGAGCCTGACCACCCGATCCCGTTATAGTCGCCTCTTACGACAAGCATAGTCACCTTTCACAGCAAGCAAGGGTTGCTGAAGACCTATTCTACCCCGGATCTTCACGGGTCTCAACTCCTGTCTTCATGCACTTGGCACTTAAAATTTCATAGAACATGAAGACATGCCGCTTTTTTATGAATAACAACTTGTTTCGTTTTTACAGCGTTTCAGAATTATTTTAATCCCCTTCAACAGGCGAATGGATGAATGGCAAGAAATAATAAGAAACGTTGTTAAAAACAATAAACGAAATTGTAAGCCACACAACCCAGTGATTGTCATCATGAACATCGATCTATACGAATATGGGATACGATAATATTTGTTTGTTTGTTATTTAACGCCGCACCCACCAATGTTCCAGCTGTATGAGGGCGGTCCCTAAATAATCGAGTCTGGTCCAGACAATCCAGTGATAGACATCATGAGCATCGATCTACGCAATTGGGATACGATGACATGCATCAACCAAGTCATCGATGATATTGTGTTTCAATGAGCATTAAATTGTATGGCAACTTCGTTTTGCGCTTTTCGTTTTTGCAGCATACCCACGGCGCGTAACGTTGGTTTTCAGCAAGCCGTGGTATTTCGTAAGCGCTATTTATAGTTAAACAAAAGTGTTTTTATGAGCAGCTATAAAATAATTGTGTGCTGAAAATTATTGAAAAAAACCGTGTGTGAGTACCATGTCCCAATAAACACGCAGACATCCAACTTGTGCGCCATGCACGAACATGCACGTGCAAACTTGGAATTACGGCCTTCAGTCGAGATGTCTTCATGAAAATATTGAAAGATGCATTATTCAATTTCAGAATAAATTTATTTTTATTGAACATTATATGGAGCACAGACACTTTTTCCGTTGGTAATATTATCAAAGTTATAAGATAGTTAATATGCATGAGAATTTGACTTTATTCATTTCAACTCTTGCTCGTTTTGGACATAACAACGCAGGTGAGGCTAAGCGTGTTAAACGGGAGAGGCTTTCAAGAAGCATTTTCCAAAACCTTAACATGAGCTAGCCCTTGAACCAAGCTACTTTTGTTGGTAGATTTTCATAAAAACAGAACAACATTCGGTAAACATTCGCATTGGGTAACATACTTTTCTCTCGGAGTGTGAAGAAATTGTCCCTTTTCACTCATTTTAGCCATGCTCATGCATTTCATCATATCAAAGTCCAACATTATACGTGCATGAAAGAATTTGAATGTCTGATATTTGTCCTATCAATATTTGAACGTTTTCTGCAACTTTTAAATACGACATATCCAGTTGGCCTACCTCGTTCTTTCCATAAAAGTCCTATTCAGGTTCAGTTGCAACTTGGTATGGAGGATTAATTGTTTTGTATTGCAGAAATGACATGTAATATTACATCCATTGCTGCAAATAATTTCTTGAAATTGTTGAAATTTACTTACGTTTCAAATTTATTTAGCCTGTTAGTCCTCAAAATTGACGTGGAAACTATTTGGATATCAGTGCTGACATCTGCTGCTGGCGACTAACGGGATCGGGGGATCAGGAACAATATTAACACCGCCTGTAATCTGGTGCAAAGTTCATTCACAGTCCCAGATCCTTCATACTAATGCTTGCCCTAAGAGGCGACTATGCTTGTCGTAAGAGGCGACTAATGGGATCGGGTGGTCAGGTTCGCTGACTTGGTTGATGCATGATGCATGATGCTCATGATGTCAATGACTGGATTGTCTGGTCCAGACTCGATTATTTACAGACCGCCGTCATAAAGCTGGAATATTGCTGAGTGCGGCGTTAAACAACAAACACTGGATTGTCTGGTCAAGATTCGATTATTTCCAGACCGCCGTCATATAGCTGTAATTTGCCGAGTGCGACGTTAAACAACAAACAAATACTGGATTGTCTGGTCCAGATTCGATTATTTACAGACCGCGCCGTCATATAGCTAGAATATTGCCGAGTGCGGCATTATACAATAAACAAACAAACACTGGATTGTCTGGTCCAGATTCGATTATTTACAGACCGCCGTCATATAGCTGGTATATTGCTGAGTGCGGCGTTAAACAAACAATCATATACTCTTCCAAAAAGTAGGGGAATAACAAATGATAAGAGAAATACAAA